AGGTCCAGCCTCCAAACCCGGGGTCTTTCTGCTGCGCCGCCTTGCCTGCTTGGCTCCCAGTGGCACACGGGGGCTATTCGTCACTTGCTCTCACTGCCCGACTGACCCCGCTCCCTTCTCAGGGGCATCCCTCTCCGGCAGCGTCTCTGGCGCCATGTTTCCCAAGGAGTTCCCCCTTGCAGCCCACTCCCACCCATTGCATGCCATTGGTGTCACTCATCACACTTCTGCCTTCATCATGTATGTGTTCTGGGTAGACTGAGGCAACCCTTTCTTTCATCTCCATGCTCCAAGGTCCTTTAAATGGGAGACTCCACAAGTCTCCGCCATCCGCACCAGCATCATCAGGTTAGACTGGCCCTAGAATTTCACCCAGGTCCCACCTTCTACAGGAGGCCTTTCCCAATCCCTTTGTATTTTGATGCCTTCCCTCTGGTGACTATCTCCAGTTTATCCGGTATAGAATCTTGCTTGAACATATATTGTTTGCATGTTGTCTCCCTGGTCAGATTATAAACTCCTCCAGGGCAGGGATTGTTTTTTGTCTTTTGGTATCCCCAGTGCCTAGCACATATTAGGTGCTTAATAAACGCTCATTGACTCACTGAGAAGTTAAGTGACTTGCCCAGAGTCACACAACTAGTAAGTAGCTGGGGCTGGATTTGAACTCAGGTCTTTCTGACTCTCGGCCCAGAGCTCTCTCTACCCACTGTGCCACAGAAAAGCATCTGCCAGCTTTCTGATGGGGGCCCAACCCCCATCAGATTATTACCTGTTTTAGAAAGAAGAACTCCGCATTGGTCCAAGCCCACAGAACTGGTCCATCCGAATATGTCATGGACAGACAGACTCTACTCGGATAGTGAGATGGAAGAGGAGAAGACTACAGCAAGTCGGCTTGGACGGTAGCTGAGAGAGGGCCTCCCGGTGTTTGTGGGGGTCCCTGGCAGGCAAGAGTCCTCCTCTCAGAAGGCCTAGTAGCCAGGCAGGGCCCTGGATGGCCAACTTCTCTGTGCTTCAGTCTGGTCCATTTGGCCCTTCATGCCTTTCTCCCTAGCGAAAGGGGAATGGACATCTTGCAAAGGTAGTGGCGCTGACTCTAGTGGCCTTGGGAGGTGCAAGATGGAATGAGTAGAGCCCCGAACTTGGGGTCAGAAGGTGTGGGGAGGCCCTTCACCATGCTGGTTACCCTCCTTTGGACACTCCAGCTTGTCAACATCCTCCCTAAAATATAGCCCCCCAGATCTGAGTCTGCCTCTCAACGTGGTCTGACCGCGGCAGAGCTGTGGGACAATCCCCTCTAGTGCTGACACAGATGTCTCTCCTAACAGGGCCCGTGGTCACTGGTCATTGTTTTCAGTCATGTCTGACTCTTGGTGACCCCATTGGGGGTTTTCTTGTTAGAGATACAGGAGTGGTTCCATTTCCTTCTCCAGCTCATTTGACAGATGAGGAAACAGGTAAACACGGTGAAAGTGGCTTGCCCAGGGTCACAGAGCTAGTAAGTATCTGAGGCTGGATTTGAATTCAGGAAGAGGAGTCTTCCTGATTCCAGGCTAAGTGTTCTATCCACTGAGCTTGTGGTCCACTAAAACCTTCATATCTTTTTCAAACTGCTGTCCAGTCTTCCTCACCTTTTGACTTGTGAAGTTGATTTCTGAGTCCAAGCTAAGACAATCATATTTATCCTTATTGAATATCATCTTTTTAAATTAGACCCAGCATTTTCGCTGGCCAGGATCTGTCTGGACCATTGCCCCAGGGTGAGCTCTCCTTCCTGAATTTGGATCATCTGCGCCTTTGAGAAGCCTGTCCTCTCGGCCTCTACCAAGCCACTGTTAAAAATGGCTTGCCATCCCTCCCATGATCCCCCTTCTGTTGACAAGAGGAAAGAAAGTCATTTCCCAGGTCGGGTCAAAATAAGACCCTAGTAAAAAATCACAGGGCCCTAGGGGGCGCCACAGTGCACAGAGAGCCAGGCCTGGAGTCAGGAAGACTCCACTTCCCGAGTTCAAATCCAGCCTCAGACACTTACTAGTAAGCTTGAGCAAGTCACTTAATGGTTTGCCTCAGTTTCCTCATCTGTCAAATGAGCTGGAGAAGGAAATGGAACCACTCCAGTATCTTTGCCAAGAAAACCCCAAATGGGGTCATAGAGATTTCACTGAACAACAAAAATCACAACTCAGCCTCCACCCAGGTACAGGCCTCGCTGCTAAGAGCTGGGCAGCCCTGATTGGTCTGGACTATGTCAGAGAAGGTAGGAAGAGGGAAGCTGACCAGAAAGAGCGGCCCCACCACTGCCAAGCATGCTGTCTCTGGTCCACTCTCCGAAATACGGAAACGATCCTCTATGGACTGTCCATGCTGAGGGTCTCAGGTACTCTTAGCTGGGGGGGGGGTGTATGTGTGGGGGGCAGAGGGCACAACTGATAATAGAGGGGCAGTGAGGGGGGTCTAAGTCCATGATGAAAAGTGCAAAGGAATATTCATTCTTCCTCTTCCCATTTTGGGAATCCTGTCCCATCTGCAGACTTTTAAAGTAAGCTGGGGGGCTCCTCCAAACATAAATGTGAAACTTGGGGGGACCTGGGAACAGAAAACCTGGCACATGAGGTCTGTCTAGTTTGCCTCACCATCCCAAGGGCCTTCAGTCACTCAGAGACTCAGTGGCCCTTCTGGAGTGGGGACCCCACTGGAGTGACCCATCTGCGGCAAAGGCGCTCCATCCTGGCACTTTCCCCGCTCAGTACAAATGGTGTTCAAACCCGCACAGAGAAAACATGTCAACACAGTGGCTCTGGCCAAGGAGTGGGTGAACGCGGCGATGTGGGCCAGCCCCTAGGCAGCCAGGCCTGACTAAGCTCTAAGCCAGGGAGGCACCACTTAAGGGTGGTTGAGGTCAGTGCAAGGGTTGTTTGGAACTAGATCTGGATTCGAATCCCATGACCCCGGGCTGGTCCCCTCCTCTCTTCGGGCCAGTTTCCTTCTCTGTAAAAGGAGGGGGCTGGACGAGAGGGCCTCAGGTGCCCTTTAGCTTGAGCGCTAGGACCCTCGAAGGGAGCAGGCGTTGGGCATTAGGATACATGCCTTCGGGTAGACTTGACTTCTTTTTAAAGGCCTCCTGGCCTGACTTTCCAGTCACTTGTAAACAGGCTTTTGGCAGGTAAAGCATCACCCAGATTCATGTATTGCCCACAAAAGCATGGCAGAATTGAACTGCACACAAGATGTGGTGTAAAAGCTGTGTGACCGAAGAGGTGGTGGCCAGGGGGTGGGAACCAAAGCTGGGTCCCCACAAAATGTGAAGGCTCTGGTTGGGTAGGGCCTCCGGGAGGGTCTTATGGGAGGCTATGCAAGATGAAGCATATCTCAGCCTCCAAAGAATTCCTGCTGCTACCGGGTCAGCTTGCAGTTAGGGTCTGCCTAAGACCAGCTTCAGGAGGGTTCCTTCCTTCGGGCAGGGAGCCTCCTCTCAGCCCAAGCCCTCTCCCCGCATCCTCTCATCTCCAGGGCTGCCCTTGTCTGCAAGGCCTGGGGCTCCTGAGGAAAGCCAGAATCCACTGTTGTCCTGGCAACTGCCATCCACTTGAGGGTTAGGGGGCACAAAAGGGGACGGCAGCTGTTATCAGGGGCTCAGCAGGATCCCACAGAGGAACCAGCAGCCCAACTGGAGGGAACAGGCGTTGCATGACAAGGGGGACAGGAAACGGAGGAAACCACCCAAAGAGAGGCTGAGGATTTGGGGAAGCCTGCCTGCTTCGAGGCCAACACAAGAAGTCACCAGGAATATAATGCTGGGAGGGACCTTTGAGCCCAAGGAGCCAGAGAGGGCTACTGGCTTGCCGTGGTCACAAGGGTCGTAAGGAGGTTCAGATCCATGAGTTCTGAGTTCAAATCCAGGGGCTTTTGCACTGTATCCCAGCTCCCAGTCTGCGCTCTGCCATCTGACTTTTATTACTCATTTCCTATATTCAGGAACATTTATTAAATGCCTGCTGCATTCAAGGCTATGCTAGGGGGGAAATAAAGAGAAATAAGACATGATCCCTGCTCTCACAGAGCATAGTTCCATACTAATTTGCTCATTGAGCGTCTGCAGAGAGTTGAGAGGCAGGCAGAGCTGGGGAGTTAGGCGACAGTTCAGTTTGTCACTGGAAAAGCTGGCTGGGAGTCCTCGTTCTGACAAGTCAAGTAAACCCGCCCCTCAGTTTCCTCATTTGTAAAATGAGGGAGGTAAGCTAGACAACTTCTAAATGCTCTGACTAGAAATGGCTTACAGGCATTTTGCCTGTATCGGCTGCCCATTCGGCCAGCTCCTTGGTATCTAGCATTTTGCTGGCCAGTTATGAAATCCAAGTTGGTTAGTGTCAAAGCAGACCTGAGATGGGGAGAAACGGAAGGAGGTTGAGGCAGAAGAGGCTGTCACCAATCCAGCATGGTTTATTGCAATCGCAGCTCACCCTAAGTCAAGAGAGGGGGCAAGGGGAAGGGGCTGACACCACCCCCATATTGCCTGCAAGGTCCTTCCCAGGGGGTAAGCAGAGTCTAGAGTGTGGGTATCCTCCCACCCCCACCCAGAGCTGGGTGGATTCCCACAGTCCTTTCCTGAGCCTTCTCTGTCCTGCAACTCATGCAAGAATGTATGTCCAGGTTATTCCTGCTCTGGCTGAGGGAAGGAAGAACTGGGTTGAGCCTCCATCTCCAACTATGAAAAGTCTGCCAGTGGGGGTATCTGAGAACAGAGCTGAGGCAGTCTCAGCAAGAATGGGTTGCTTTCCTGACCCCTGTTTGTCCCGAGGAGTGCAAAGAGCTTTCCTGCGGTCTCTCTCATAACTTCCTTCTTCCCATGGGACAAAATGGGGGGAGCTGAGGTACAAGAGTGAGAAGTGATCTGCCCTACAATCACAGAAGTGAAGGCTTGGTGTGTAACAAATGCAGGCATCCTTGGCCATATGTGGGCTCACCCCAAGCCTGATGTCCTCGAGCCATCCTGCCCCGCCCAAGGGAGCCTATGTGGGGATCTCCACTCTGTCCAGGTCTTGGTGCTGGTCCATGATCTGTAGCACGTCATCCAGTATGGAAGGCCCCAGGTCCACATGGAGGGAAAGGAGGGAGCTGGCTTGGGACAGGAATGGTTCCTCACCTTGCTCAGGCATGAAGCCGTTCTGGGGAGAGTCAGTCTCTGGAGTCCTCCAGACCTCCAAGACCTCATCCTCCTGGGGGGTTGGCAGTGATGTCTCCAGGTGCAGGCGGGGTGGCTTGGGGGGGGCTTGAGCTGAGGGCAGGGTGAGGGCCTGGGGCCCACCAATGACTGGGAGGGAGATGGCATTCTTGAGGAGAGGGGAATACCCATCAGAGAGCCCTCGGGGCTCCCGCCCACAGACTGTGGTGGTCCGGGCAAACGGGAAGGGGATGTTGAAGGTGCTATCTTCCTCCTCCTCGGGCCCCTCACCCGCTGTGCCAGGTAGCAGGTGGAACTTGCCCTGTAGGAAGGAGATGTCGCCAAACATGTCTCCCTCGCCACCATTGCCAATGTGGATGGTGTGACGGAAGTCGCCCAGGGGCGGGCTAATCATGTCTGATGACAGCAGGTCCCGCAGTTTCTCCTTCTTCCCTTTGCGGTTGCCCCGCTTCAGGTAGATGGGCACCTTGGCGGACATATCACCATACCATCCACAAAGGGCTCAGTAGAGCAAGGACTGGCTCCCACGACAGGCTAGATCTCGACTGGAGGGGGCGGCCCTCAAGCCTCCCCACCCCTTGTGGATCCACCAATGGGAGCTGGACCAGAAGTCAGCGAGCGCTGACCTGAACCAGTTGGTCGAGAAGTCAGCAAGAGGACAAGTTAGAAATGAGAGTCTTTTCCCCGAAAGGGCTGGGGGTGGAGCAGCAGCCCGTGTCCTTCCAGGCTGGCGTGAGGAGGCGGTTCTCTGCCTGGCTCCCTCAGTGGATTCTTCGGGATCCACAGGGCTGAAGTCGCCACCTCTGGAAGAGAAGAACAAGTGAGTGTGGGCCACAGTGGGGAGCTGTCCCCACCATTTCATGTGTCTTGTCCTGGACCCCATGAGAAGCCATCCTGTTCATTCCAGTGAGAGTAAGTGCCTCTGGTTTTCCAGCAGCTAAAGGGAGGGACCTCAGATCCTAGAACACGGAAATGTCAGAATCAGGAGGAAGACAACTTAGAACCCCAGGCCTGAAGGAACTTAGAACAATCCAGACAACTTGAGGGAGCATAGAGACTGTTGGAGGCAAATCTTAGGGATTCAGCATCACTCCTTCATTTTAGAGGAGGAAACTGAGATCCAAAGAGAAGGGACTTGTTTGAGATAACCCAGCAGGCCCGTGGCAGAGGCTGCCGGCAGCCTGGCTTCTTGACTCCCAGCTCCTTCTCAACCAGGCCACGCTCCTTCCACCACGTTACCTCCTCTGCCCTGGGTATAAGCCACGCACGATGGCACTTCTGTATGGTCTGTAGTTTTGTCTGCTCACCTAGATTAGGAGCTCCCAGAGGGCTGGCTAGCCCCCCCAGGGGGAGCCCACCTAAGCCTCCTAGCACCTTGCTCCCCAAAGCCCTCATGAGCATGGGATCCCAGGAAAGATCAGATATGCTCATTGATAAGGTGCACGTGACTGAGCAGACTTACCCTGTGGGGACTGCGTGTGGAACAGTGGAAATTATAGGGGAGTCAGAGCCAGATGGGCCAGGCCCTGCCCCCACAGCTGTCAGGCCCTGAAATCCTGGCACTGAGCCAGGTCCCATCCTTCCTCCCTCCTGCCCCCTTCAGCAGCCTGGCCTGTAAGGTTCACCCCAAACCTTCACTGTGCCATGCCCAGCCCCTTTAGCCCTAGGGCTCAGGTCTTAGGATCTATTCCGCCCCCCCCCATCTCAGTGGAGAGGTTATCAGACTGTTCCCAGAGATCCAGGGTTTCCACAACAAACTAAGCCCCTGGGTGGGCAGAACTGCTTGCCAGACCGCTGCCTCATTCTGAGCCAGATGTGTCCACCCATTTCCAGATGTGGGGCTGAACAGGGAAAGGGTGGGGTGTTGACCAGTTCCTCCCAGTTGTCCTGTGGGTGTAAACCCTGAGGCAGGCCTCTGTCATCTGGATCACACCTGATGAGGGCAGGAGGCCTGTGGAAACCAAGCCACCAGGCTCTAAGGGAGGACCAAGTGGTGGTGAGGAAGGAGCCTGGATGTGGAGACAGAGGACCTGGGCCCCCTCCCTTACTCTGAGTGACCCTGGGAAGCCTCTTGGCCTTTAGGGGCTTTCCTAGGGGGTTAGACCAGCTATCCCCTCAAGTCGGGCCTGTTTCTTCTCCATTCTTGTCTGTTACCCCAAAGCTTTATGAATGAAGGTTTAACATCAACCTGCCCTCCTTACAATGGAACAATTTCTGGTGGGAAAAGTGTGCTGAACTGGAGACCTGAGGCTAACTTCTGGCTGTGCCCAACTCATCACCTGAGAGGCCTAGGAGAAGCCAGTCTGAAGCTCCCTGACCTCAGCTTGCTGTTCTACCAAACTGGACTCATGGCCAAGGTCCCTTCTGGCTCTGGCCCTCGGACTGGTGAAGATGACCCCCATTGGGGCATTACAGTATGATTGGGTGGAACCTCTGACTGAGGTCATGGAATACAACTCCCTCAAGTTACAGAGGGGGAAACTGAAGCTTAGTAACCCAGTGCCAAGCTGCCTTCCCATGAATTTTCTCTCTCTCTCTCTCTCTCTCTCTCTCTCTCTCTCTCTCTCTCTCTCACACACACACACACACACACACACACACTCACTCACTCACTCTTAACTTCTAACTCTTCAGAATCCAGGGATTTTTCAGGATGAGAATTTACCCGGAGCAGCTAACTTAGGAAGGCCACTAGATGGCGCCATGCGCCCCTTTCACGGAGAGGTCCGGGAATGGGGCGAGAATTCTGGAGTCCCGGTCCTTGTGGGGTTCCACCCGTGGGCGGGAGGAGGGAATAGAAGATAGGGGTGTCATGGAGAAGAGACTGCCTGGCGCTGGGGCTGAGAGTTCGAGCTTGCCTTCTGTTTGCCTGTGCCTTTTTTTTTTTTAATGGGGAAGGGGGCTATGAGATCCCCACTGCAGGGGCCAGACCCCGGCACTTCACCAGCTACGCCTTGGCAGAGGAGGGACGCCCCTGCCACCTGAGCTTCCCGGAGGGTTCGGGTGTCCAGTACAAAGGAAAATGAAGGCGCCCCAGCTCAAGGCTTCCTCCTGAGACTGGCGCACCAAGGGCCGTCTATTCCTCTCTCTTCGGACCCCCTCCCGGCCCCCAAGCAGGGCGCTGCCAGCCCAGCCCAGCCCAGCCCTGCCCAGCCGGGATCTGTTTCAGGGCATGGCTAAAGATAGGTGCACACCTCAGCCCTTTTCTAAAAATACGGGGCGCGCTCCCCTCCCTCCGGGGCCGACGGAGAGCGGTGAGGGAGGGGCTGCCTCAGCCCAGCCGGGGGCCAGGGACCCGGGATCAGGAGTGGTAGCTGAGTGAGGGCAGGGGGGCTGCAGGAGGGTGCGCTCAGCTGGAGGGCTGGCCCCAAGGCTGGGAGTAGGCCTTGGAAATCCCCAAACGGAGAAGGGGAAAGACTGCCCGGGAGGGATAAGGGAGGCTCCGGGAAGGAGAGTTAGGGGAGCCCTAAAGTGCAGGATGAGGGACGGAAAACGCTGAAGGAGGCAGGAGGATCTGGGGGAGGGGGCCCAATCCTCCCCACCCATCGAACAACCCCTCCTCCTCCCTCCGTGATTTGGGCTGGGCCGGGACCCCCTCCAGCCAGGGAAATTCCGCAGCCTGGCGTGGGGACCTCGCGGTGCCGCCCTCCAGGACACCCGCCCCGCTTCAGTCCTCTCTTACCCTGGGGACTTACGGTGAGGTGCTCGCAGCCAAGTTGGGTAGTCCTGGTCCAGGTCTGGATCGGCGTAGGACGGGCGGCGACCGCCGCAGCGAAGACCCTCAGCAGCTGGGACCGAACTGTTCCCAGGCCCCGGGCCAGCAGCTCCGCCTCCGCGGGCCCCGCCCCAGGTCCCCGACGAGCCAATGGCCGCCCTGGCTCTGGCCCGGCCCGGCCAGGCCCGGCCCGAGCCGGCTCCGCCCCGCCCCTCCAGCTGCTGCTTCCGACTGTCCTCCGCCTGGGCCATAGAGGTGGGGTGGGGAGACGGAGGTGGGGTGAGGAGGGAGGGAAAGGAGAGAGTGGGGAGGAAAGAGTGTGGGGAGGAAGGGGAAGGACCCGGGGGATCCACCCTAGCTCGTGCCCAGCCCGGGGCTCTGCCTTGAAGGATGCCTGGGGACCGTCGGGCTGGGGAGCTCAGATCTCTTTTGCTCCTCAGTCAGTCAGTCAGTCCCAAAGGAATCTTGCTCCTGGAACACCTAGTAAGTGCCCGCAGGTTGTCAGGCTAGGGACTTGGGGGCACAAGTAATCCTTGCCCTCGGTGAGTTTATATTCCGACAAGGGGAAGCCCAGGAAGCTCTAGGTTGGAGGAATCGGTCCCAGACCTCATGTCTCGAGTCTATGCAGGTCCACCCCGCCCCTACGAGGCCACTTGGAGGCTTAGGCCATTAATTGCTTGGAGAAGTGGGGTCCAGAAGGTCAAAGCTATTTTGCTAATAACTGCCGAAAGGTTTACGTTCCAACGTAAGTTTTGCTACCTGTGAGCCACATACAGGTTCTTTAATTATTGAAAGGAGTTCTCCATTTTTAAGAGTGTAAATGGGATCCCGAAACCAAACAGTTTGAGAACACCAGAGTTCTGACTAATAGTGATGCGTAAGGGACTTGCCCAAAGTCACACAGCGGAGCCAGTGTGAATCAGATGCGGAACTTGGACCCAGGTCTTCCTGGTTTTGTCCACACTGGTTCTCGTTCCACTAGCCACGTGGCCTACTGTATATACATAAATACACATATTGCATGTACATAAATAGATACAAAATGTAGGGTCAAAACGGTACTACAAGATTCTCTGGGGGGAGGATGTTGGAGCCCCCCCCTCCCCCGGCTATCCACTCAGGTCATCCCAACTACTGACCTTTGTCTCCCCACCTGGACCATGTCTGAAGCCCAAGACCTGGGGCCCCACTCCCTGGGGAAGTTAATCCACACATCTCTGCTGCTTCAGCTGAAGAGCCCACCTGAGTAAATTCTTTAGGGAGAATATTTTAACCCACTTCTGGCTGATCTCAGACAGCAGACCATGTAACAACTTCCACACATCCAAAAGTCAGGCAAAGCCATCTTCTCTTCTTCCCTCTGCCCCTCCCCTTCCCTAAATGGCCTATTTGTAAAGCACTTAACACCTGCCTGACACATAGTAGGTGTCAAACGCTTATCCCTTTCCCTGTCCTTATCACCTCACTCCCAAGTATCTTAGCTTTCTTGCTGGAATGGAAGCTTCTTGGGGACAGACACTGTTTCTTTTCTAAACTTTGTATCCCAAGAATGTAGCCCAGTGCCTAAAACACAGAAAGCAGTTGATAAAGGTTTCTTCCATTCCTTCTTGTAGAAGGTGACATTTAATCTGAGCTTTGAAAGAAAATAGTACCTAAGTATTAAGGTACTTAGTTTTAGTACTTTCCTCCACATCAACCAGTGAAATGGGTTAGCATTATTATCTCCATTTTACAGATAAGGAGACTGAGGTGTAGAGACTGAAAGCTATTAGAGCTCGTCAAGATTTGGCTAGGGGACTGGGAGGCTGGGTTAAAGAAAGGAGGGGAATTTTGAGGTCCCTGGATCTGACTTAAGGGGAGATAGGATTCTTGTGCCCAGGGCCCTTACTTGAAAGTGATTGCTAATAATTGCCCTTTGTACACATGGCACTCTGAAATTCTGTGAGTCTAAGGATTGAATGTATCCTTTCTGGGGGAGTCAAGATAAAGCCTATTTTAAATCAGGTAAATATGTGACAATTCATATTGGCATAAAGCCTAAATTAGGGGCAGCTAGATGGAGCAGTGGGTAGAGTGCCAGTCCTGGAGTCAGGAGGACCTGAGTTCAATTTTTACCTCATACATTGACTAGCTGTATGACCCTGGGCGAGTGGCTTAACCCTAATTGCCTCCCAAAACAAACAAACAAAACCCACATCAGAACCCAAGTATAAATTAAAAGCTAATTGTTAGTTTCAAGTAAGCAAGGGGAAGGGCAAAAGTCATTCCTTTTTCTTCCTTAGGGAGTTTATTTTAGGTGAAAGGCTTTAAATTCAATCACAATTGTTCTAAGCTCCAGTTAGGAAAATTCCCAATATCTAGCAGAGCTTAAGCTTTCTACCCAACCGTGCCTTTATTTTTCTCCCTTTTGGGGTTGAAGCAAAATTCAATTTATTGGAAATGTTTTGGTAACCAAACAGTGGACAGCAGATTATATTATAGTATCTATGGCCAGACCAGCATCTAAAGAGGGGCTTGGAGCTTCCCTCCACCCGTGTCCTCCTCTCCCAAGATAGCAGTAGAACCAATGACATTCCCTCATATCTCCCGTCTTCTCAGAACTCAGTCCTCTCTTTGCTTCCAAGCTCATTCTTCATTCCACCCCTTCCCCACCCCACCCTCATTAACATGCAAATGTGAGATATGCTGAGATAAAAGCTCTCCCTTTTACACAGATTGTTTAGGGTGGAATCCAGCCTCTCACATAAAAATTTTGATTGATTCAAGGAGGTATGTGGATGCTGTTACTCAGTTCTGATGTTCAGATTTAGTCAAACAGTGTCCTTCTCTAGTCAAAGCTCCAGATTTTGCATTTGAATTGTTTTCCACAGCATCCTCACACAACTTTACGGCCTTTTTGTGTGTGGGGGGGTGGGGGGTGGGGGAGAATGGGGAGGTGGAAGGGAAAGAGAACCAAGGGATAGGGTTGACTCCTTCCCCCTCCAAAATGAGAAGAAAACAGAAGGCCAGAAGGAATCATGGACAGGCAGGAGAGCTTTGAAAATTACACGTTGAATTTATTATGCACTTTAAAAAGAAAAACAAACTCTACATAACAGATTTGCAGTTTATTGTGCAAGCTTCTGTTGTACAGTATGTACGGAAACACTAATTTTTATTTGGTGTTTACTAAGTTCAGAATTTTTTTTTTAAATGAAGTGAAAAAACCCCTACTTTGTCATTTTTCATTTGCCATGTTTCGGTATATAGTCAGGTCAAAAAACATGAATTAAGTGCCTACTGTGTGCCAAACATTGTGCAAAACCAGTCACTGCCTCTGAGGAGTTCAAAGTCTAGTGGGGGAAGCAACATGCAAACATATGGAGAATAATTAATGTATGTGTTTCTATACATGCATGTTGCTTCCTCCATTGCTTCCATTGTAAGCTCCTTGAGGCCAGAGACTGATTGTTTCAGTGTTTGCTTTCCCCACTGCAGAGCACAATGCCTGGTTGATGATTGATGGATTCCATCCACTGGTAGAACTCAAGTGCTGGAACCTTCCTCCAGGGAGTTTGTTCTATAACTCCTTTGTAACAGTCCGAGAGAGTTGCCTAAGGACACTGAAGAGTGAAGTGACTTGCCCCAGGACACACACACCAGAATTCGAACTCAGGTCTTCCAGACTCTCGGGGCTAGCTCTATCCTGAGTTCAAATCTGCCTCACTTATTAGCTATGGCCAAGACACTTAAACCTGTTTGCCTCAGTTTCCTCATCTACTTCCCAGGGGCTGTTGTGAGGCAAAGGTGAAATATTTGTAAAGGTATGGTTTGCTTTGCAAACTATAAATGCCTTGTGTAAATGCTAGTTAATATTGTTATTATCATCATAAGCTACAGTAGGGTGCTGTCCTTTCCATAACTAGTGTAACCCATTTTCTTTTGTTCCTCTCCCCCTTCGGAGCATTTTAAATTTATTTTTCACTCTTTCACATCTTTTGTTTTTAACATCACCTTTTTTCCCCTAAATAAATCTCTCCCCACCGCCTGCCCAGAGAACTTTCCCTCGTAACAAAAAATATAAAAGAGAAACCAAAAATCAGTTCAGCAAACTAAAAGCCACTCACCGCATCAAGTAATGAGATCGATAGTATATGTAGTGTTCCGCATCTGCAGTTCTTTTTACTCAGGTAAACAAGAGAGGGATCTCCCTCTAAGGCCAATCTTGGTCCTTATTTTGACACAGCATTCCATGTTGTTATTTCCTTGGACATTGTTGCAATCATTATGTATGTTATTTTCTTGTCCACCTACTTCACCTTGCCTCGGTTCGTATAAGTCATTCCTTGCTGCCCTGAATTCTTTGTTGTTATTGTTGGTTTTTAAGATGCATACTGTTCCATTACATACTAGAATCCACAGCATCAAAGTCAGCTACAGCACTGATGGTAAATTCTTCAACTTGAAAAGGCTACAAGCCAAGACCAAAGTGGAGGGAGAGATGGTGCATGACTTTTTGTTAGCAGATGATTGCACATTCAATACAGCCTCTGAAGCTGAGATGCAACAAAGTATGGATGGATTCTCCTCTGCTTGTGCTAGTTTTGGCTTGACAATTAACACCAAGAAAACACAGGTGCTCCATCAGCCAGCATTGTACCATCCATACATGGAATCATTGGTTACAGCAAATGGAGAAATTTTGAGTGCTGTGGATAAGTTCACTTACCTTGGCACTATGCTTTCCAGGATGGACACACTATGAATTACCAGAGCTAGTTCGGTGTTTGGGAGGCTCTGAAGGAAAGCATGGGAGAGAAGAGGTATTAGACTGCCTACCAAACTGAAGGTTTACAGAGCCCTTGTGCTCTCAAGGTCTCTCTGAAGAACTTTGAAATTGATTGTGTGACATGGGAGACACTGGCACAGCACCACATGTCCGCATGGTGTGTCCTCATCAGGGAAGGTGCTCTATGAGCAAAGCAGAATTGGAATAGCTCCAAAGAAACTTGAGATGTACAGACTTAGAGAATCCACCTCAAACGTTCATATGGACTTTTTGTGCCCGACCTGTGGTAGAGCATTGGGAGCTCACGCTGGTCTGATCAGCCACAATCAGACACACTGTAACTTGACTCTAACAGCCATGTCATTTTGGTCCTCTTCAAGAAATGAAGGACAACCGTAAGGATCCATTTTTTGTTTGTTTGTTTGTTTGTTTAGGCAGTTGGGGTTAAGTGACTTGCTCAGGGTCACACAGCTAGTAAAGTGTCAAGTGTTTGGTCTGAGGCTGGATTTGAACTCAGGTCCTCCTGACTAAAGTGCTCTATCCACTGCACCACCTAGCTGAGGATCCGTTTTTACAAAGCCTTGCCTTCCATTCAATTTCCCAGGACACGGTGGCTTTGTCTCACAGTCGAGTTCTGTCCTTTGCCCTCCACAATCTGACATGGCCCTACCTTTCCAGCCTTTCCTCTCCAAGAACACTTTGCCCTTCCCACACCCACTCCAAACAAGCTGTGCATTTGTTTTCCTCTGCCCCCACCCTTCCTCCTTGGACCTTGCCTTAGTCCTGTGTTTGCACCCTGATGCATTTCTTATATCCTACTTTGTCTTATCCCTAGTTCTTTGAGTTTGTGTCTTCTCCTAGTGGCCTCTCCCTGGCCCATAGCAAGGAGGAGGAGGAGGAGACCCAGAATCCTTTTCTAGGGGTGAGGACTTGGCTGTTCCTCAGCAGAGCTGAACTTGCCCTAAAATCCCAGGCCTTGTGATTCGAGAGGAAGCTGACAATTCAGCCCAGGAACTAGACAGTCACGGCTTCCAGGATGTGACAGTGTCGGTCTGCTGTTTGCCTGCTCCCAGGAGGCTCATTCGGGAAGTTGAGGGGCCTGGAGCTCAGCTACGAGTCCTCCCTTCTGGTACAGAGAGTGGGGGAAGGGTCTTGCTCACCAAGCCCCTATGCTCACCCAAGCTCAGGTCGTAGGGGCTGACTGACTCACTGGCCAGGGAGCACCTACTTTAATAAAGATGCCCTTCCTAGAGCTCTTTCATTTAACCCTTATTACTTATTAAGTAATTTAATCGAATGAATTTCATCTAAGGAGGCTCAGAGAGGTGTGACTTGTCCACGGTCAAGTTAGTGATCGTCAGAGGTGGGAACTGAACTGAGGTCTTCCTGACTCCAACTAATCCTACCAAGTAGGAAGTACAGCTAAGCTTATCCCCTTTTTACAGCTGGGAAAACTGAGAGTCAGAGAGGGGAAGTGACTTGCCCAGGTTCACACAGTAAGTATCTGAGGTAGCATTTGAACCTATGTCCTCCTGATTCCAACTCCATTACTTTTAGTTACTTTGCCTTCCTTACTATGCCTTAGTGAGGTAGGAAATACAGGTACACATCCCCATTTTACAGATTAGGAAACTGAGGCTGGGAGGAGTGCTATTTGCCTGACGTCACATAGTTTATTAAAAGTCAGAGCTGGGATTTGAACCGAGATCACCTGGTTGCTTTTGAGGGCATCTTTCTGAGAGACCTTACTGCCCCCACCTCTTGTCCAATTTTCTCTGTTGTAGCCTCAGTCTCAGAGGCATTTCCTTGGGGTTTCCTGACACAAGGGAATCTGGGAGATGATGCTCCACAGGAGCGAGGGAGCGGCTGCCGGTGGGCCTGAGGCGGCCCCTGGGCTGTCCAAGCTCTGGGGGCCTTGGCCCTCTAGCTGGGGAGCTGTCTCTCACTCCAGGCTGGCCCTGCCTCACCCAGCTGTCTGCCACAAGGGGCTGGGACCTGAGCTCTTCCTTCCTCTCAGCGATTCTTGCTTCCCCTACAGAGTGTATCAGTTGTCATCAGGACTTGAGGTGGGTCAGGAAACAGAAGGGGTGGACAGGCCAGCTTCCTCTCACCTGCAGGATCTGGCCCAGAATCAGGTGGAGGTGCCAGGCCAGCTCAAAGCTGGCATCCATTCCCTGTCCTTTTGAGGTGGCTCAGCCCTTCCCCCGGGGGCCTGCTGCACACTCTGTCGCAGGGGAATGGGGCAAAGAGTCCTTGTACTGGGAGGCAGAGGTTAGAGAGCCTCTGCCACTGACCCTACGTGAGACTCTGGGCACAGCTGCCCTCTTCGGGCCTCAGTCTTCTGATTGGTGAAATGGTGGGAGTGTACCAGATAAGCTCTCTGCTCTTTTTCAGCGCTAAATCTGAACAGCAGCCCAGTGGAGCCAGACACAGAGCACTGAATCCCTGGGACCTCGGATCACTTGCCCTGCAGGATTTTTGATTTCTTCCCATCTCCAAGTCCCTGATCCCATGATCTCAGAATCCCAAGATCATCAGACTGAGAAGGGGGCAGTGACTGTGCATGCAGTCTGACACACAGTAAGGCCTTTACAAATCCACGAGGACAATGCTAATCTGTGAGTCTGGGCCTGGGTCAGAGTGGAAGCCCCAGGGCAGATGGGGCTTAGGCTACACCTTCAGGAAGGGGGGGCTGGCCACTCTGGGGATGCTCACCCTTTCAACCCTGTCCAGAAGCTTGATTCCAGGCCCTTTCCTTGGCCTCTCTGCCCCCTGGCTCCTGTCCCTGCCATTCTGCTGGGGTGAGGCTCAAAAATCATTCACCCTTACTAGCTGTGTGACCCTGGGCAAGTCACTTAACCCCAATTGCCAAAAAAAAAAAAGTCATTCACCCTAGGAATCCCAAGGTCTAGCTAGGTATGGGGGAAAGGAAAGGAAATTGATGGGGAATACAGCAATGAGGGGTCACGGATGGGGACAACAGAGACCCTGGGAAGGTCCGTCCAGGCTTACCACTCCTCCCAGGGTCTGAGAGGAGCACAGGAGATAGGGCAGGGACTCCTGGGTTCCTGCTCCAGCCCCACTTTGGCATGCAGGGCCACCGTGTCCTGAAATAACCCCCAGAAAGCAGAATGATTTCTTCTTCCTTGGGTTGTTTCTTATTTCCTTTCCCCAGCCCCCTGCCAGCTTCCAGCCCTGACTGCTTCCCCATCTCTTCCTTCCCCTTTATACAAGGTCAGGCGTGCAGACTCTGGCCCCCAGCAAAGGCTGGGCAAGCTTGTAAACAGCTTCCGAGGCCAAATAACAGGACCCCTTCAGCCTCCAGTGTTTCCTTGTGAACAAACAGGATGAGGACGGCTCGGAGGGGAGACGTTCCCCCAAATCCAAGGGCTCCCGCCCCGCAGCACCACCTGCTTCTTAGACATCTGGAATAGGCTGTCCCCGGAGGCATCGCCAGCTCCACGCGTCCAAACCTCCTCAGGCTTATTACCTCCGCCCCCAGCCCTGCCCCTTTCAGAATTTCCTAATTTTTATCACGGGCCGCCTTGGAGGCATCCCGGGCCCCCCAAGTCACCGCCTTCTCGTCTCTCCATTTACCACGCCTCCTCCGTCTGCCTGCGTCTTTTCCCTCGGACCCCAGGCCAGACCTCACCCTCTCTCGGGGATTACTGATCATTCGTCTCCGCTTTCTTCTTTCCAGCCCATCCTCCACACAGCTGACAAAGAGGGAGGCTCTGCTGCTCCAGAAGCTTTCGGGGTTCCGCCTTCTGCTTCTGGGAGGCAAACGCCTCAGTCTGACATCGAAAGCCTTCCTGTCCATCGTTCGAGGCTGATTTTAACATTACTCCTCCTCACTCTACCTTCCGCCAGAGCCGCCTGCTTTCCATTCTTCTGTTCTTGACTGATGTTTCCCCTCCTTCCTCTGGGGAATATTGTCCCTCCTCACCTTAAGGGCCACCTCCTCCAGGAGGCCCATTCTGATTTCCTCAATTCCTAGGACCCTCTCACTTCCATTCCCCTATATTGCTGTTTAATCGATTTTTTCAGTTGTGTCTTACTCTTTGTGACCCCACTGGGGTTTTCTTGGCAAAGTTACTGGAGTGGTTTGCCATTTCCTTCTCCGGCTCATTTTACAGATGAGGAAACTAAGGCAAACAAGAATAAGTGACTTGCCGAGGGTGGGGGGGTGGGGGGGGTATCACACAACTAAGAAGTGTCCTGAGGCTGGATTTGAACTCAGGTCTTCCTGACTCCAGGCTTGGAGCTCTATCCACTGCACCACCCAGTTGCCCAGCTACAGCTGTCCCTGGGTTAGTTCGTATTTACTTTATTGTTTTGATTTGACTTATTTGTATACAGACTGGCCTCCGAGTAGACTGTGAGCTCCTTGCGGGCAGGAATGGTAGGTTTGGGGTGTTTTGCGTGGCTTGTTTTTCACTCTATCCCTGGCCCCTAACGCTGGGTTTAATACAGAATAGGTGATTAATAAATGCTTGTCGGCTGAGTGAAAGCTTGAATGAAATCCCCTTTTTGTCCAGGAGCTCCAGGTGGAAGGGCTTGAAGCTGCAGGACTTTCCAGTGAGTGAAAGTGTTGTCCGGGGCTAGAAGAGCTGAGCCAGCCTGCCCTCCTTAGGGAATGAGCCAGAGGTTTTCTGTGTCTGGATCACAGACCCAGGAAGATCTGAGTTCAGGGCCTGCCTTGCACACAGGGCAAGAACGGTGATGTGAGCCGAGACAAGTCTCCAAGCATCTCAGTGCCCCAGGTGAATTGTCAGGACAATGCAAAGCAGTTGCAGATTCTCCTTCTTAGCATAAAAGCACATGTCCAGGCTACCAGAGAATTCTGGCTTCACTTTCCAAATCAATTCTGCCAAAAATGTTCTGCCAGGAACTCTGGGGGATAAAAAAACAACAACAAAGTGGGGGAACCAGTCCTTACCGCCAAGGAGCTTATATTCTAATGGGGCAATCAACATATAAATAATTAGGTGCCTACAAGATGTCTACAGAGTGGTTGGACAGGGAGCCTCCAGCGGTGAAGGCCCTGGAGGGTGGGCAGAGAAGGCCAGGAAAGGTATTCTTCAGAAGGGGTGGTGTTTCATTAGAGCCATCCACACTGGGAAAGCCAAGCAGATGAAGAATGCCTATTGTTCTAACTATGTGGCCTTTGTTGCATCAGTGGAGGAATCTGAGACAGATGTGGCCAATGGCCAATGAGCTGGGACCTGAATAGAACAGTCAGTCAACAAGCCTGTCTTAAGGGTTTAAGTATGTGCCAGGCACTGTGCTGAATGCTGGAGCCCAGGAGCAGAGGAGCCAGAGGGCAGGCTGGATGGCCTTTGGGGATGGCCTTAAGTAGTTTTAATCACCCCAGGCTTCCTCTTGAAACAAGGGCCCAACTTGTTAAGAATGGTACTCCATGGATAATGGCATATGGCCACCAGCCATGGAATGCTGTATTCCGGGAAGAATGGAAGTTGTAAATTGTCCAAGGGGCAATGGAGAGGCCCGAGGAGGGCAGGCTCAAACTGTGGGACGTCACCAAGCAAGAATTATGTAAGAGGAGTGGGGCAAAGGCTGTCCCCAGAGGGAGGTCAGATGGAAAAGGAGGTGGTCTAGTCCCGGGCGAGAGTGAGGGCTAGATCACGGAGAAGCCGCTGATCCACTGGCCTGCTCACATCCCATGGAGTGGCAGCTTGGCACCTCACCTCTCTCTACGGAGGCTCCAGAATATTGGGTGGAAGTCCCCTGGAGAAGCTCGGAAGGGACTTGAAGGAGAGGAGAAGAGAGGGTGTGAATGGCTTTGGCTTGAATTCACTCCACCACTCAATAAACTTCGCTGACTCCCTACTACCCTAAGGTCTTCTGTTCTACATCTAACGGCACTGTACAACGTGGGCTCTAACCCTGTTATTCTGCTTGCTGTCCGCTCAGTGACCTTCACACTCTCTCTAAGTCAGTTCAACTGTCCTTCCTGCCATTCTGCCAGCACGCTTCTCCAAGTTCCATCTCCGTGCTTTGCCCAGGCTGTCCTCAATGCTGTTCTCCCTCATTTTAGTCCTTACAAATCCCCGTTTTCCTCAAAATTAGCTCGAGTCACCTTCTACATGAGGCCTTTTCTGAGGTCTCCCCGAATGACCTTGTATTTATGACTTATTTTGTATATATCGACATATGTGTGCATTGTCTCCCCCACTAGAATGGAAGCTCCTTGGAGGCAGGGTTGTTTTGTTTTGTTTTCTATCTTTGTAGCTTCAGCATTTAGCTTCTCCCCTATCACATGGTAGGCCCTTTAAAATGCTTGTAGATTGACTGATTGATTGCTGGGAGGGAGCATTCATCTTGGAGAGATCACAGATCCGTCAACATATGGAAGGCTCCCCCTAGGAGACAGTGAGCTCCCCGAGATTCATCTCTCCTTCATCGGTGCATACAGCAGGTACTTAATACATGTTTGTTAAGTGAATGAATGAAAATCAGAAAATTTGTAATGATAATAACCCACATGAGAGTTGGCAAAGATCTCTCCCAGCAGCCCAGCCTAGTAGGCTGTGTAATTATCACCCATATTTTATAGATGGGGAACTTGAGGCTCAGAGGACCACATGCGGAGTCAGATGAGGTACCAGTTTGACTCCTCCCTCTAATAATTACTAGTTGTTTGGCCTTAGAAAAACTGCTTTTAAAAATTTTGTAATTGCACTTCTTTATTTAATAAAAGTCATTAATGCTGCATGATGGTAAAACTTCCAGTTATAAATTCAGAAATTCAGAAGTATGGAATTTAAATAACTCCTGCCAAGTGACACAAACACAGACGATACGCGATTAGTACCTGGAAAGGTTGTTTTCCTTTAACTTGGATGTCAGTCCACAGAACTATTGGTCCTGTTCATTCTTAGTTTTGGAAGAGAGAAAAAAACTACTTGTAAGCCTTAGTTTCCTCATCTATAAAATGGGGCTAAGGATACGTGTTGTATTTACGTCTGAGGGTTGTGTCGAGAATCGCCTCGGATCGTCTTTAAACAAAGAAAGACTTTGGGACAATCCCCAGCAGGTTAACATCTGCGACATAGGAATGTGAGATGCAGGGAAAGTCGAGTTTTCCTTGGCTTCCCACCTGACCCGCTCCAATTCAGCTCAATGTAATTCAACGGACATTCATATGAAATGCTTACTGTGTGCTAGGCACTCGGGATACAGAGCCCAAACCTGACAGTCTGTCCCCTTTAGTGGCTTACATTCCTTCGGGAGAATAGCCTGGAGAAGGAAGTAACTATGAGATAATCTGAGGAGGGAGGGAGAGAAGATACCTTAGCTTGAGGCTGAGCAGAATCTTGCAGGCAACCAGGAAGTCTAAGGGGAGCTGAGGAGGGAGGGAGAGAGGAAGGCGGGGAGCATATTCCAGGCTGGGATACAGAGGCAGTTTGGCTGGAATGGAGAATGCACAAAGCAGAGAGATGCGAAATGTGCTGTGAATGTAATTCACATATAATGTGAAACAAGCTGGCAGAGATGAGATGCCCTGGAACCAGAGGGCGGAGGCTGTAGGACAGCCAAGGTCGTGAGATGGCCGATGGAGGAGTGTGGAGTTATCCCAGTGGGAGCCTCGGGGTCTTCATGAGTGGTTTCTTTTTTTTCGGGGGGGGGGAGTTCACATGGTCAGAGCTGGGGTTTAGGAAAGTCACTTTGGCAGCTGTGTGTAAAACGGATTGGAGAGAGTAGAGACCTGAGGTGAGGAGGTGATTGCCATAGTCTAGGGGAGAGGCGGGGAGGGTCTGGGGAGGGCTGTGAGTGGGGAGAAGGGCATGGATATGAGAGAGATCGTGGTGGATGGGCAGAACTTGGCACCAAAGTGGGCATGTGGGGAGGAGAGTGAAGACCGCCCACACAGGTTGCCAGCCAGCTGGCCTACAGGACTGGCAGGTTTGGTGGTTCCTTCGACAGAAATAGGGGCTTGGAAGAGGGGCAGTTTTAGAGTTAGGCCCAGATGGCCTGCATTCAGGCTGTGGTCCTTACAGCAGGAAATACTCTTCAGGTGTGGCTAAATCCTTGTCTTTGATTCCTGGGCTGGACAGCGGCAGTGTCAGCCTATGGGCCAGATCCCTCCCAGCGAAGGGGAAGCCCTACCCTGGGGAGGGTGGCTGGAAAAGGCCTGGGATGTACCCGGTTCATTCTCCCAACAGGAAATGCTTCTAACCATGGGAACATTTGCAGGGAGTGGAGGAGGAGGGCAAGAGAGCAGGGGCCTTGGTGCTGGGGAAGCAGCCGAATTTGGCAGCATGCCTGGGTTCTCATAGAGCCCTTCGCACTGGGTTCAGAGGTCAGGCAGGGTCAAACACCCACAGATGTTCCCTTTACTCCCAGCTGCCTAGTGGGGAAGAGATCAATGCACAGTCACAGGGACACTCAGCTGCCGGCTTCCTAAGGCTCTAGGAAGGGGGGCTGGGGGCATGGAGGACTAGTTCCCTCTCTACTCCCCTCCTCAAAACATGAAACCCCACAGAGGACAAGGGGGCCTGGGAGACCTCAGCAGAGGTTTCAGGAGGCTCTGGGGCCAGGGCCAGCTGGGGCCAGGGACCTGACAGGAAGATGTTGATATCTAGGCTTGAGGCCAGGCAAATGGCTAGCAGCTAGATCAGAGCAGAAGGGATCACCCCGCCCCACCCTCTCTGCCCACAGACCCAGATCCCCCAGCCAAGTCTGGGTGACATCTGGCCGAGAAGGTAGGGAAGGAATTTGTGGTCAGGAACGAGATGGACTAGCTCTGAGGCTATTTCCAACTCTGCAGGGGGACAGGGAAACCTGGAGAGTAATGAAGAGGCGCTCCCTTGGGTGCTGACTGTAGGGGGCTAAGGGCAAGAGACACAGACAGAGATAAGAAGATTCAGAGACAGAGAGAGACACTGGGGAGAGGAAGAGAGGGAGGAGAAGGAGAAATGGAGAAAAGAGAAAGACAAAGATGAGAAAGAATGGGAGAGGGGGCAAGGAGAGGAGAGAAGAGAGGGAGTGGGGAAGTGAGAGATGGGAGGGCAGAGGGGAAAAGAGAGAGGGGAGGGGGAGGGGAAGAGAGAGAGGGGGAAGGGAAAAAGACAGGGGAGGGGAAGAGGGGAGGGAGGAGAGAAAGAGGGTGGGGTGGACGGAGTCCTTTTGAGTAATCTCCAGGTCCCTGGCATTAGGGTTTTCAAGCTCATAACACGTGCCAGACTCCTGGACTAGAGAGTCAGCTGCCCTGTTGCAGCCCCAGGGCCTGTGAGGCTCCTGGACTAGCTGGGGAGGGCTGCTTCACATCCCAAGTAAATATCTATTTCTAGGGTAACTGAGTGCCAGATCCTGGGATTCCTGGTTCAGGGCTCTGGCAAAAACCAGAGAGAAGAGAGGGAGGGACAAACGAGGAGGGAAAAGGAGGTCACACAGTGATTCACAAAACTTCCTCGGTCAGCTCTCTTCAATTCCTAGGAACTAGCTTAGATCCAGAAGGGACTTCAGAGAGCTTCTCCTCTGCTCCCTTCACTTTACAGCATAGAGTCTGGCAGCTCCCTCTGGGGGACACATGGGTCTCCCAGACCAAAATATTCCAGGCTTGAGGTACTCTGTCCACTCACAGCTCTAGCTCACAAGCCCCCACTGGCATGTTTACTTTTACTAGTCAGCCAGAGGACACAGTTTAAAGCAGCAGCATCTAATGAAATAACATACAAAGAAAAGTAGCACTAACATATTTCCCCTCATAAATTTGGGGCATATTCTGTCCCAAACACATATAGTATCAGTGGAGAGAATGAGCACACAGATATCACGCATAAGGCACATCAGGATTATATGTGTCCAGGGGCCATATGTGCAAGGATACACATGTAGGGAACTTGTGTGACTGAGCTACGTGGGTGGACAGGCAGCTTACGTCTACGACGGCTCTTCGAGGTCTGCTACCCACGGGGCCCGGGCTGCATAGACCTTGCCAAGCATGGCACCTCTTTGGTCTTTCTCTTGGTAGCTGCTTGGTGGTGCTCCATTGTTCCTGGGCAGAAGCAGCACAGGACACAAGGTAGAGCCAGGAAGACTGAGGTTTATGTCTTCCTTCTAACATGTACTGGCTGTGTCCCCGGGCAAAACTTGAGCCTCTAGACCAGAGTGAGAACCTGCAGCCTCGAGGCTACATGTGGTCTTGACAACTGGACATCTGGTCCAGACAACTCCCCATCTGTAACTTGCAGAGACCTCTCTGACATGTATTGGGAGAGGGTGTTTCTTGATCTGGGGGTTCCCTATAACAATGAAATCCCAGGTACAGCCCCTCTCTCTCTTGTGTGTACATCCATATTACCTCCTTCATAGAGTGTAAGCTCCTTGAGGACAAAGATTGTTTTATATTTATCTTTGTATCCTTAGCACCCAGAATAGTGCCTGGTATACAACAGGCATTTAATAAATGCTTTTTGATTGACTGAAGCCTGAATACACCCTTTATTCAGCTCCCTCTCTTAGCAGCCCTCATTTCCTTAACTATTCAGATCAGGTGGCAGGAAGCCTTCTCTGAGTTGCCCCCCCCCCCGCCTCCCAGCTGCCAGTGCCCTCCACCGCCCAGATTCATTTGGGGGTCTCTTCTAGATACATATCTATTCTCATGTGTTGTATACTCACACAGATATGCAAATATATAATTGTCTCTTTACACACTTGCAGTTTGTTTTTGGTTTTGGTTTTTTGTGAGGCAATTGGGGTTAAGTGACTTACCCAGGGTCACACAGCTAGTGAGTATCAAGTGGTGTCTGATTTGAGACTGGATTTGAACTCAGGTCTTCCTGACTGCAGGGCCAGTGCTCTATCCACTGCGCCACCTAGCTGCCCCTACACTGCATTTCTATCTCTTCTTTATCCATTTGTCCAACTCTCACCCTCTCACTTTATCTATCTATCTATCTACACATTTATGTGTCTATGTATTTATGCATCTATATATGTATCTATGTATGTATCTATGCATGCATGTTTCTAATTTTCTATCTATGCATCTATGTATATATCTATGTATCTATGCATTCATGTATGCATCTATCTATCTATCTATCTATCTATCTATCTATCTATCTATCTATCTGTCTGTCTGTCTATCCTATCTATCTAATCATCTATCTATCTATCTATCTATCATCTATTTAATCATCTATCTATCTATCTATCTATCTATCTATCTATCTATCTATCATCTATCTATCTATCTATCTATCTATCTGTCTGTCTGTCTATCCTATCTATCTAATCATCTATCTATCTATCTATCATCTATTTAATCATCTATCTATCTATCTATCTATCTATCTATCTATCATCTATCTATCTATCTATCATCTATCTATCCTATGTATCTATGTATCTATCTAATCATCTATCTATCTATCTATCATCTATCTATCCTATGTATCTATGTATCTATCTAATCATCTATCTATCTATCTATCTATCTATCTACCTATCTATCTATCTATCTATCTATCTATCTATCTATCTATCTATCTATCTATCTATCTATGTATTCTATCATCTCTCTCTCTCTCTCTCTCTCTAGTTTCCCCTGATAACCTGTGAGCTCCCTGAAGGCAGCGTTTTGTCTTTGTATCTCTAGCACCAGCAGGATGCCTGGCACACAGTATGGACTTAATAAATGCTGATTGATGAACTCTAGCTAAGCCAAGGGAACAAGGTCCTTATCTTTTCCTACCCTAATAAAATCCCTGTGTTGTGCATTTGTGGCCAACAAAGCCTTTTCTGACTTCCAGCCCAACCTCACTTATGGAAGGGGAAAACAAAGCCCTGAAAGAGGAAGATACTCGCCTAAGGTCACAGGTGCTAAGTGGTAGAGCTGGGATTTGGAGGCAGACCTTCTGGCTCCAATCTAGCTTTCTACTGGTCCCTGCTAACTGGACCTCTACCACTTTCCAAGTGTTCCCAGGGCAGGCAGCCTTCCACTTTGCCAGTGATGGCAAGATCAAAGTATACAAGGCAGTGAGTTGCAGTGAATAGAGTGCTAGATTTGGGGGTCAGGAAGGCCTGGGTTAAAATCCTGCCTCAGACACTCATTAGCTCTGTGACCCTGGGTATGTCCCTTCCTCTCTCTGGGCCTCAGTTTCCTTATCTGTAAGACAAGGGAGGTCAGAGTCTACATCTATGATTCTAAGGGAGCCACGGTTCTTTTTTTTTTTTGTCAACTGCAATGCTATACTCCATCAGGAGTAATATGCTGAGTGATATTAACATCTCCAAATATCAGGTCACAATCCCTATTATATGTTGAAGTTAGAATGATAAATTATCATATGTTTTGCATATCAGAGCTGGTATCACCTTTCCCATAGGGAATGCTGCCTGAAATTAACGTATTCCCAAAGGTAAAATGCATATTCTCTGAAATGCATTTTATTATGACAATGTAATGCATTTACTCATAAAAAACATTAAATGTAGATAATTCTACAGTAGCTCTCATAAGTGGCAGGTTAAAAATCAGCCATCCACCCTATTTGGGAGAGAAAGAGTTCTGCTAGTGTTTAAAGCAAAGTGATTTCCTAGTCAGGATAATTTCTGGGATAAAAACAATAATGCTACTTTTTTGCACGTGTGTGTTTCACATCATACGTCTGGTTTTGTTTGTGGTGTTTCATCTCATCTACTATTATCTCATTTCAACATTGCTGTGAGCTAAAGGAAAAACCTGCTTAAATGAAAGCGATCACTTTATACACCCTGCTTTGAAAAACCCCAAATTGGAGGAAAATGCCAGTTAGTCTTTTATTATGTGATAAGAGTTCCCAATTTCTTGGTCTGACTTTGCTTTAATAAACTAAAAAATGTTGCTGGTAAATATTTATTTTAACTTCAAAAAAAAAATACTGTTTACCAAGGGGGTGGTGATGTGGGCAAAGCTTGGGGTAAGAAAGGAATGCTCTCTACAGGTTTCATTGCTATATTTAGTGGGGCAGTTAATGTCATTGGTGTGGGTAGGTTCACTGGAAATGTGATGGTGACTGGGTGTGCCACAGTCACTGGGGTGGCGAATGTTAGTGGAGAGGTCATGATAGTGGACTGGTTACAGTTACAGGGTGCCCCATATTCATTGGGCTGGTTGTATTAACCGCACTTGAAACATTTCCTGGACTTCTTTTGCTCATTGCAGCTGCCACTGTGACTGGGCTTGGCATCGTCCCAGACGACACAGAGGAAGTTATACTGAATGGAGTAGTAAGAGTCACAGGTGTCATAGCAGCCATGGAGGTTTGGCACAGGTTAGCAGCTTCTTTCTTCCTTGCCTTGAAAGCTTCTTCCCACAGTCTCAGTGCCTCTACCTGCTTTCCCGGCCGGCTGGTCGCATGCTGCTGCTGAGGGAGCCAAGGTTCTAAAGAGAAATTTCATCCCTTTCCCCCTCACCCTCCAGCAGGGTCATCGAAAAGCAACTGCCCCACCCAAAGGACAGGATGGGCCATTGAGGGAAGCTGCGTCACTGCTGAGTCACCAGGAGGCCAGAGAAGCTGGGGAGGGGAGCTAGGGTCCAGGTGATAGGTGTGTGTGTGCCCACTCCCAGCTTGTTCCGGGGTGGGGGAGGAGTTGAGCAGAGGCAGGGGGACAGACTGATCTTACGATGATTGGATGGTCACAGTGGGCCCCAAGATAAAAATCCCCCACTTTCTCCTGGGTTGATAACAGCACGAAACTGATCACTTCCTTCCTCTTTTCCAGTGACTCACCCATTGTCTCCCTGTATTGGGCTTTCCCTCTGCCTGGACTGAGCTGACTCAGTGACTATTCCCTTGCCGTGTGCTTGTATCCATCCCTTCTCAGGGCCAATGAAGTAAAAGTCATGGCTTCAGCCCTCACTTGGGCACCTGCCTTCGCTGGTACCAGCCACCAGCTGCCACATCTTACCATGTCTCTCCTTTAGCTGTCACAAGGGAGAGTGGGTAGATCTGCTTAGAGAAAACCCGTCCCTCAAAACGAGCATCCCCTTCAGACAGTGATATACAATGGAAGTATCTTCATCTCCATTTTTTTTGTTTATTTCATTGGCATTCTGCTCCGATCCCTCCCTGTGGCATGGAGGTGACCCAGAGCTCTCAAATCAATTGAGCAACGAGCATTTATTAAGCACCTACTACATACCAGCACGGGGGGTTGGGGGTGGGGATGGCAGGTAGGTGGTATAGTAGATAGCATGCTGGGCCTGGAATCAAGAAGACACGAGTTCAAATCTGGCCTCAGACATTTCCTAGCTGTGTGACCCCGAGCAAGTCACTTAACTCTGTTGGCCTCAGTTTCCTCATCTGTACAATGAGCTGGTGAAGGAAATGGCAAACCACTCTAGTATCTCTGCTAAGAAAACCCTCAATGGGGTCACAAACAGCCAGACAGGACTGGACAACCACCATAAACCAGTAGGTAAGAAAATAAATGTTTGTTTACTGACTGACTGCTATCCAAGGATCGGTGTAACTCAGGTGGCGGTAGTGCTCGTCCACCGTGCCGCTGTGCAGTTAGTGAAGAAGACTTGGGATAGGTGGGTGTGGCTTGGAGCCAGGGGGAAGAGTTATTAGACTTTTTCCTCCTTTTTCCTACAGGTCCTTCCTTTGAAGAGGACCAGGGACATCAGGAGGGTGATGTCTTTACTGGTGAGTACATTGGGTTTGAATGAGGCAGAGCTGGGCTAAGTCATGAGCCTCACTCTCTCCTTCAGTCATCAGAGTCCAGTCCGGACGACTGGCCATGGCCCAGGGTGGAGTGGATGACCTTGGCCTTTTAAAATGAAGGTGCTCCCCTGCTCTCCGTTTGTGGGAGGCCATACCCATTCACCGACTAAGGGCTAGGTGAGGATGGGGACAAAGATGACCCAATCTGCCATCACAAAAGTATTAATCTGGGTGAGAGCTGGAGGGGCAAACTGAGGCCATCCATGGTGGAACAGGCTGCCCAGGAGGTCAGGGCGGATTCTACCTCACTCTCTGCACTATAGATTTAAGGCTAAAGGGGCATTTACCAGAAGGCTACCTAAGCCAACTCCTTCACATTTATAGATAAAGAAACTGAGATCCAGAGGAGGACAGAGACTTGCCCAAGGTTATACACATAGTAGGTACCAAGTCAGCATTGGAACCCAGGACCTCAGCCTCTCAACCCAGGGCTTATCCACGGCACCGGACTGTCTCGCCAGTGCTCACCAGGCCAAGACTGGAGAACCGTCTGTCGGGCATGTTGGAGTGAGGATGGGCTCTGGTATGGGTCCCTTCTGACCCAGAGCCTCTGATGCTGTGAGTGAGGCCAGCCAGCCAAGCTCATCTTTCTCCTCTCAGGTTTCTTCAAAGATCCTGCTTCCCCTTGGTGGGCCAGGAGGCTGTCCCCTTGTAGCAGGTAAAGAGGAAGCCCAACCCGGTGGTTGGAACTGGGCCCTTGGAGCTACAGGCCGCTCCCTCCCTGGGCTGGCCCTGCTGAGGGGAAAGGGAGATGGTGCCGGAGAAGCCACGGCCCACCCACCCGGCCAAGATGACCACTACCAACAGAAGGGGAAGCTGAGGGACTGGGCCTTGTGACCCCAGCTGAGGGTCAAGGGAAAGGAAACACAGCATGGCTAGAATGGTATGCAGATGTCGGGCCCTGCTGGGCCCATGCCCTGAGTGCCCCGCCCCTGCAGAAGGGCCCAGCTCGATTCTATGGCACCCAGTTGAGTTCCCATCCACTGGGAGCTCTTAAGGACTCTTGTCCTCTCCCCCTTCCCCCTGGAGTGGCTGGAATCCCAAACGGTGCCCTGCAATGGGGGAGATGGGTGCCAGGGAAGGGGTGAGGGCAGCAAGAAGGCAGGGCAGGCCCGTTCCAGGGCCAAGCAGGCAGGAGGCTGGTAAGAGGATGACCATACCCACTCCCTCTGCCCCACACCTAGTTAGTCCACAAACAGGTCTGACCGAACCACTACTAACTCTGACCCACCAAGGGGACGCTGCTTGGTGGGAGGAAAGTTGAGAGGCTCCCAAGGCTATGGAGGAGACCACCCCCAGCTGCTGGGTGCCTGCCACTCACCTCTCTGCCCTGGCCTTTAAAAGGGCAGAGTAGGGGACTCTCCAAGATGAGGCACCATGAGGAAATGAGAAGTGACCCAGTAGAGAAGGGGCCAGGGGACCCCGGTGATGGCTGGGGAGCGGCACTCCTGAGGCCTGTCTGCTCTCTGCCCACGTGCCCCTTCTCTCAATTCCGACATGCCTGCCCAGGCCCCCAGGTTGCTGATCTCACAGGCTTGGTCTCCTGGCAGCTGGGCTCTGGGGCCCACAATTCACTCCTCAGTCTCTGCCCCTGCTCCTTTTTGCATTTCAAATAACACCCCTTTCCCTGTTCCCACCCGGCCCTATGGATGGGCGGATGGGCACAGGTGGTATATGGAAAAGCCAATAATGAAAAGATGGGCCTGGAAAGAAACCTGGGTTTGAACCCTGGTTATGATGTAGAGGCTGGGTGGCCTTGGGCAAACTTCACAGGGGTTCACAGCCCCTGGAGGCCACTTGGTTCAGTCCTCTTTTTACAGCAGAAGAAACAGGCCCAGAGTCACTCAGATAGTAAGCTTGGGACACAGCATTTGAAGCCAGGTCCTGAGTCCAGAGGCAAGGCTCTTTGCACAGCAGAGTGCGGCCTTTCCGGTTTGCTCACCTGCACAGTGGGGTTAACCTTTGCACTCTCTGCCTCATGAGGTCATCAGGAAAGCCTTAGGGCCGTTGTAGACCTTAAGGTTCCGTAAGTAGGAGCTGCCATGAGGTCATTGCACCGGGGATGGGGAATGGGGGAAGGAAATGGAAAAGAGAACCATACCAGCCCCCCAGTCCAGCTCTGCCCGGGGCTCCACCAGGAAGGTTTGGGGGAACAGGGTGGGTGGGAGATAAGGCCAGGGAGGACCCAGAGCTCTGGTGTCTCGGCTGATCTTCGCCAGGGCCCTGCTGGTTAATCTTCAGCCCTGACATAGATAGGGAAGGAGCCTGCTTCTGGTTTGAGCAAACACCAGTGGCCCTGGAAGAGGGGCTCAAAGGTCACAACCATCCTTGTCAGGGTCCAGAGACCTGGGCGGAGGGGGAGGAGAGGCCAGATAGGCGCTCACTAGCTGGCGGCCCAGTGCCAGTTCTCATCTTACCAGGTATTAAGGCGGGAGGCACCCGTGGGGCATTAATGAAACCCGAACCGCGGCTCCCTTGCAATCAGGAGGGGACCCACTCTGACCCAACGCAAACAAGGATTTCCTTTCAGCCATCTCATTGCCAGCAGCAATGCTGCTTCCTCCTGTACAGACAGGGGCCCCACTCAGGGGTCCTTGGGAAAGAAGGTGAATGGGTGCTTTGCCTGGCCAGTTCTGCAAGCTTAGGGCCAGGCCTCGCTGGCTCCCCTGACAGCTTCAGGTCCCAGGCTGCTCGGCATCTTGGCAAAGCGGACATCCCCTGGGAATCCAGCATTGAGGGGCATCCTCCCCTCCAGATGGAGAGGGGTCGGACCACCACTCCCGTATGCAAGGGGCTGTGGGGGGGTGGCGGGTCCAGGGCCAGCTCTTCAAGATGGGGGGGAGCCCAACAACCCCCAGTCAGCACAGATGCCGTCTGCGGCTTAGGGCAGACTCCCCGTGGATCAGGGGTGGGTGGGGAGAGATAAAGACCAAGCGGGAGCGACGCTCGGCTTTCTCTGGGCACACGTCACATGCTGTGTCCACTCTTCAGAGGAGAAAAGGGAGAGCCCAAGAGAGGAACAAAATGACCACATCCCCAAGCTGGACGGTAAAGCAATTTAATTTTTATAAACATTTTGTTTTTGTTCCAGGTAGAAAACACTCCCGTCTTTCTCCCAATACAGCAATTATGCCCCCACTCGGCTGGGTGTGGACCACGTGCACCTATTAGGGGGGACGGGGCTGCTTCTTCCTCCAGGGCCAGGGGCGCTGCTGGGGTCTCGCCTGCCACAGGGCAGCCACTGGCCTCTGGCGCCTTCAGTGGCTGGGGCCTCACACCAGTGTTCTTGGGGCCAGACTCGGGGAGGGAGGGGAGAGGCGGGCATCAGATCTTGACCACCTGGGCCGCTGTGCACGGGCTCCTCCTCCCACTGCCGTCAGCGGCCTGCCTACTGATGTACAGGCGCCCAAAGGTGCCCCCCACTTGCCCCTTGGTGAGGCGCCCAGGGTTCATGCAGACGCAACCCAAGATGTCCTGAAAAGAAAGGAGAACAACTGAGTTTGGAGAGGCTTTGGGGGTCTGGGGGCAGGTACAGGAATGACCTGTGAGGGGAGATCCCCTCTGAGCACTGACTGACTTAGATGACTTGTCCAGGGTCACGGGGCCAATGCAGAGGCAGGTCTCGAATTCAGGGCTTCCTGAGTTTGGGGCTGGCTCCCTCCTCACTAAGCAGTGCGGTGGAGTAGAAAGAAGATGGGATTAGGATCCGAGGCCCTGGATTCAAGGCCTGCTAACCAGGGAAAAAGTGACTGCAATCTCCCGTCTTCCGTGGCTCCTCAGGGGCACAATGGAGGGGTTGTCTTGGGCAGCCACCGTTTACTAAGTGCCCACGTGCCAGGCACTGTGCTTAGCGCTTCACGATATCCTTTCATTTGATCCACACAACAACCGTGGAAGTAGCTGCTGTTTTTATCCCTGTTTCACAGGTGAGGAAACCGGGACCGACGTTAAGTGACTTGCCCAGGGTCACACAGCTAGGAAGCACCTGAGGCTCCATTTGAACTCAGGTCTTGCTGACTCCAGGCCCTGCACTCTACCCACTGTACCACCTTTTGAGACCATTTAATGATGGGCAAAGCATTGACCCGAGAGCGGCACCAGCACGGTGGAGCTTAATGCATCTCTAGGTCATTGGCACGTCCCGAATCCCCGCAGGCCCCTGCCCCGACGGCAGCCACAAAGCTGAGCTCTCTCCTGACTCCAACCCCAGTGAGCTCTTCTGAAGGCTGGGCTAGCTCCTGAATCTACTCTACAGGGAGCATAGATTTGGGAACTCTAAGGGACCCCCATTCCACAGATGAGGAAACTAAGACCCAGAGTGGCAGGTGACTTGCCACGGTCAAACAAGTCGCGGAATTAAGATTCTGATCCAGGTCCTCAGGTTCCAGATCCTTTCCCCGAGCTGGCAGGGTAACGGGAGGTGGAGACAGAGCTCTGGAGACCAGCCTGTTCTACCCTACTGAATCCCCAAGGATGCCCCTTCTCGAGGACCCTCCCCCAAGAGGTCCGTAAGAGTGCAGCTGTGGGGGGAGGGAGGAGGCGGCCCTGGAACCGCCCTGACATCTTTGCCCTTGGGCTGCGCCAGCCACGACTTCAAACAGACCTTCACAAAGTATCTCAGGTCAGAGGGAATGATGAAGACGTCCGGCGTGATGGGAAGCTGAGCGTGAGAATAGAAATGCTCGTAGTCAATGCTCATCTCCTCGAAGGGAGGGTACAGGGGGTAGTAGCTGCAGAGACAGAGAAAGATGAGGGTTACGCCAACCTTGGCGGGCCAAGACCCACAGAAGGCACGTCAGTCCAAACTCCTCAGTCTAGGGCTGGGGAAACTGAGGCACTGAAAGCAGGATCAGAATCCAGATTAAACGTAACTGGGAGACACTGGACAACGTAAAGGCAAAGACCACATGATGTCTTATTCTAGTTCAAACCTAGTGCTCTCCTCTTCCCCAGCTCTCAGCAGAGCCAACATCTCTCACTTGTTTACGCCTGCCCACGTCTGCTGGGCCAGGCCTTTGTGGCCACCATCCCTTCAGGTGGTCTCACCATAGTTACAGCTGTGCTCTGGCCACAGCTCTCGAATCTAGGCACCCAATTCCCCCCACAGGCCTCTGCTCCTCCTAGCCAGTATCTGGTCTCAGGTAAAGTTGGCAGTGACTGGCCTCACCTCCTCTGGGTCAGGACATGCTTGAGGATGCGGCTGAATCTGTCTGAGGCGCTGGACGAGCTGGGGAAGGAAGGGCCAGAGAGACACACATCAGTCTGGGCACCTGGCCCAGGGCAAGTGAGGGTGTGCTGCCCAGCAGGGTTGGAGACCAAACCCGGTGGCTGCTTGAGTCAAGTGAGGTGGTGCCTGGCACAAGGGAGGCAGGGCAGGGTGACCCTCATAAGTGTGGGGAAAGAACCTGGCTTTGTCTTCAGGACCAACAAGGGAGGTCGTGAAGATCCCCTGAAACAGCGCCGTGCAAGCCTTCCGCTTTGCGGTCCCCGAGGCCAACGAGCCCACACCCAGCTGCTGAGCCCACTCCCGTTTCAAGCATTCCTTCCCCTCAATGATGCACTGGGAGGGCTGAGCTGGCAAGTCCAAGCTCAAATACTTGGCTGCCTGTGCTGCTCCCCTCCCAGAGCTGCATGCCGTTCTAGGAAGAGGAGCCCGCCCCAACTACGGAGCCTTCACTCCCCCCTCCCATTTACGATATCAAGAGAGGCCTGGAAACCTCGTGGACATAAATCAAGTCACTGTCACCCCCCCTCGACCTGTCTAGGTTCCAACTCTGGATGCCGGAGAGAGTGGGTGGGGGGAGAGTCAGAAAACCCTCCCCCCACAAAGGGAGAGGACTTCTGGCGGTCTGAACGCCAGGGACACAGGCAGTCACACTGGCCAAGGGAAATAAACAAGCTAACAAACACGCCCACACCACCTGGACAACGTCAAGAGTGCCATGGACAGCTGCCAAAGGGCCTCGGTGGGGAATGTGGCTGTGAAGAAAGCCCGCCCTCAAACGCGATCGGGTGCACATCAGACAACGCCCCTCGGTGTCGAGGCCCAGAATCCGTCTCCTTGAGTGCTGGGCTGGGAGCCCCCCAATTGTCTCTCACCTAGTGATTTCCTCCGCTCCCATGTGAAGCAGCAGGTCCGTGGAGGTCAAGCCCAGAATCACTCCATTTATGGAGAGGTTGCAGGGGTCAGACACGAAGTGTACTCGCTGAGGGGGGAGAACGGGTGTAAAGATTACTGTCCTTGAACATCGAAGTGATAGCAACTCCTGTCCTCAGGAAAAGCCGGGCTCTCTGAGGCCCTCCTATTGGGCTGGGTGTGTCACCGAGGAAGGGAGGCCACAATCATTCACAGTAAACTCAGAAATGCACTTGTGTGCTAAAAGTGAAACACACACACACACAACCTGTCTGCCCAGAAAACGCCAGGGACACTACCAAGAAATGGGAGAGATGAGAGATAGGTCGACATGCTCTGCGTCATGCGACCTTAGGGGCAGAGCCGGCCACTGGAGAACCGCAGAGTTCCGGGGCCCCCAGAGCCTAAGAACTCTCCTCTCCTTCCCAGGCATGGAAGCCCGAGGCTCCGCTGTCTCTCCACGTGGCCCATCTCACCTGATACCTCAGTGCCAAGGACTCTGCGTCTCGCACCCCTGCTCCCACCGTGATTTCTGAGGTCCTCCAAGGACCTGAAGACAGTTATCTTGTCTCCCCCGAGTTTTCTGTAACTGTCCCTGCACTAGAGGCCTGCACTCTGTTCCAGAGGGAGGCTGACCAGGGCAGACCACAGCTCACCCTTCACTCCTGGAAGCTAGGCTGGCCTCTCTAATCTAGTCCAAAGAGCTCGCTACGTTCTCTGGCTTTCTTACCATGCTCCTGACGCACACCAACCTCCAGGCCCTTCTAGCTGCTACCGAGGCTCACCTTCCCATCTCAGACCCAGGAAGTCAGTTTTCTAAGCCCAAATGCAAGACCTTACATGTGTCCCTCGTTCAAATTCCTTCTCCTTTGCTTCAGCCCAATGAGATAAGATTCAGCTCAGCCTTACAGGGGATAACCAGTACCTTTATGTCCTCCTTGGGGAGCTCCGGGAAGCTGAAGGGTGGCTGGGGGTACACGGGCTGATGGTGCACGTCTCGCAGGGATGGCACGAACACGAGGTGGGTGCCCGAACTACATA